CTAAAAATGCTAAAAAATGAGTACATCAGAACCGGAAACCATTTGAGGTAGTTTACTATATCTATTTTACTATATTTTCTATGCATTTTTAATAAAAATTTATGTTTTTAAAGGTAGTTTTCCTAGTATTTATAGCTTTAGAGTCTTAAAAGGAAAATCAACCAAAAAGGAGCAAAGGTGACTAAAAGAGGTGTAAACCAAGCCACAAAAACCTTCACAAGTCAAAGACATCATCAAGGCCAAAGATTTCACAAGTTACCAAATTTTACCAAGTTGGACAAAACATAAACGCCAGAAGTTTGGCAATGAATGGAGGATCAAAACAACTTGGAATTTTATGAAACTTGGTGTAAAGATATAAAGTGTAGTTAAAGTTCCAGTGGAGTTTTAATTATCTCATTTAGAGCTGTGAATAGAAAGATACACTCGATTTACTAAAAATATGTCAAACTGCCTCAGAAATGAAGCAAGTGCAGAAGCGAGTCTAGCACAACACCAACTCGTGGACCTTTGTCCCATACCAATTCCATCACGAAGAAAGTCACTTTTAAGGCTAGCACTCATCGTATTATTTGACCGTTTCCAAGGGCCGGTGTTTGGAGTAGTTTCGACAAAAAAATACAATTTCGTTCTAAATTTAACCCTAGAAGACCCTAGGCCTATATATACTTGTTTTAGCCTCTTGGTAGGGGTGATCCGAAATAGGAGAGTAGTTTTATGATAAAGAAACAGCCACCACGAGTTCTTTTGGTGTTCTTCATGGAGTTGAGTAAGAGCTTTTCGGTGGATAATCGCGCTTTGTACTTCGTTGTAGAGAAGAATCTTCTAATCCTAATTCTTTAATTCAAGTTTATTTATCATGAGTTTATCATCTGTCTACTATTTTTCGTGCACCATGTATGAGTAATTCAATTGGTTGATTTAAAAATTTTCAAAGAGGATTCATGGATTGATCGTTAGGTTGCTAGATTAGTGTTCATCGATAGAGGTGTTCATCGATAGATTTTTTCATCTTAATATGTGTTATTGCTTGTATTGCTTGATTGACCATCTAGATATTGCATCTTAGAATAATAAACTCGCCGAAAGTGTTGTTAATTTACCTTAAGTGATTTGGGTGAGCAAAGAATCATTGCCTACACGAGTAGAGCTATGAAACTTTGTCAACATATCAAACTAGGATTTTTTATGCATCCTTAACTACTTGATTACCTAGAAGAGTTGTGTAATTTAGGTTGATTAGACGTAGTAATTGTTGCTGCAAAAGTAAAATAATTGTTGTGTTTGTTGCTGGAGTTACAAGCCCACATTGCAAAATTAAGCTCAAACCACACGATCCGACCTAGACTACATATTCTTTTGGTAAAAATCAGGATTCTTCCCACACAACTAGAAATTTTCGCGATTAGGAATGAGGAAGAAGAGAAAAGAAGTTTTGTTCATGCAAAAAGAATTTTTGTGAATGAGCATTCAGGCGAGATTTCTTCTATTTATACTTGTTGGAATAACAATTAGTTTGACAAATTTGTAAGACAAGTGAAGAAAC